TACCTTTCTTGCTTGAAATTGTCGGCCCTTTGAGGAAGAAAAAGCTGGAAATGCTCTTCCATGATTGATATTTAATGATAAATAAATCTATCACATGACAATATATATTATGATGGCATTTTTTTATTCAATCCAATAGGAATTTCTATTTTTGTCATTAATGAATTTCCATATTCACCATAAACCAAGCCATCTGATCATTATCAATTTACAAAGTCAAACATGAATTAATTTGACTTTCATTTCTGAATTTCCTCTTGAATTTCAAAAAATTGCGTTTTAGTCACTAAATTCCACTATTTCTATTAAATCTGAAAAATTGCACAATTCCAAACCAAATTTCTCTGATCTAAAATATTAAAATAATATTTCCAAATATTTTATAACATCCTTCAAATTTTTGTAACATTCCAATTCGATCCGAATTTTCGATTCCTTATCGGCTTTAACCCTTTCTAGTTTTTCTTTACTAAAATTCCAAATCCAAAAATATGATTTCTATAAAACTCCACTCTCAAGAGTAAATCATCTATTTATGGAATAAAATTCTTTTTAGGAAATTATCACTTAATTCCCTAAAATTTTTCCCAATTTTCTACTTTGACCATCAAACTTTCAAAATTTTCATTTTGGTCATTGTCTAAATTTTTGGGGTATTACACCTAGTGGGACATTATACGAGCTGTGGTGACAGTATATGTGCACAACCTCTATGTACTCACATATCTTTAGTTCTCAGAAGTATACATGAGCTAATAAAGAGAATAAATAAATAAACTTGGTATGATGCTATGTGTGTTTCTTTATGAAATGATATATGTGTTATATGATATACAGAAATGATAAGTACAAGATCATATGATAAAAAGGATTAATGATAATGCTAAGAATGTAGATGATGATATATGTGCATATGGGTATTTGTTATATGAAAGAATGCATACTTTTGTATGATATGATAGTATTATTTGTTCATGCATTGTTATAAGTTAGAGTTTACATTATATGCATTATTATGCCTCACTAAGTCAATGACTTAGCGTGTGAGTGTTTCACACATAGGTTCTGAGAATATAAAAAGGAATCGAAGATATGCAAGCCATGTCAGCTTCTCCTTTCTAATGATCAGATCAGAAAAGATTTGAATCATATGTATTTTGTTTTATTGAAAGTAGTTGGCATGTAATTAAAGATTTGGATCAAGTAGGCTCTGATAGGTTTTGTAAAACCATATGTTTTATATAATAGAAATTATTCGGTTTTATTGTAAATGTCAAATGGAATTTTTAGTTATTTTGTAAAAGCAAACGATTTGAAAAAGTCAATGTGACACCTCAGATTCTGATCCGGGACGGATACGGGTTGGGGTTGTTACACTTATACAGAATAAATAACTAAGTTTAGTGTTTTCTATTCTCTTGGCGAGTTAATTCAAAAATTTTATTTTCTTCATATATATATATATATATATCATTTTCCTATTTCCAAAATGTTCTTAGGGCACAATGAACACTAATATGCATCACCACATGCTCGTAGAGGAATACCCAAAATGAATTTTTCTACTTACAGATTTGAAGTTTTCATTATTTAATACTTAAGTTTGACATCAGCCTTTGCTTTATTTGACATGCTTGTCGAAACATCACAGGTATTCGATTATTTGACCACTGCTTAAACTGAAGAAACCAACAAAATTAGATTGGCCTAATCGAACAAGCTGGAAAAGTAATTTGATCATCTTAAGGGGCTGGCTCTTGTCTGTTTAATAGTTCACATGCAAATATTTGTGCTAACAGGCATCTCATATCAAGTTAGGCAGATATTTGCCATACACAAAAAAACACAACCCAAACATATACCATAACAAAAAGCAACACAACAAAAGACCCACTCGATCAGACAATTCATTTATTCTTCTTTGGTGCTATTGATTTTTGAGTGCCCATAAGGTCCTCAGTTCATCTCCTCTTCTTTGGTGCAGTTGTATCATACTAATAACAGATCAGAAAATTAAAACATTATTTAATTTGTCGAAGGAAATATTGTTACTTATTTAATATGTTCTTACATAGAATGTATGTTCTCCAGTCCTCAAATTTGTGTAAATGTCTATCCCTTTGTATCTTTTTTCCTCATTGATCTATTAGAAGTAATACGAGCCTTTTGCTTCTCCTTTCCTTTCCTTTCCTTGATACGTGTGTTGGGTTTGATACGATCGTACTTGCTAATCTTGTTGAAGAATTCTCATCCATATTGCTCTCTTGCAACAAAAAAAAGTCTACTTTAGAAATCTAACAAAACTTTAAGTTTTACACCAAACTAACACATTAACTCTAAATATTTGGTTTGCAGTTTTAGGCTGAGTACATGATCTTTTATTATGACTTTGTCCACCACAATTTTTATAAGTCATAATAAGACCAATACTACTAATATGTCTATACTTGACTTTTTTTGGTTTATCTTTTTGTTTCCTTCGATTTTTTAGGCCTTCCAAGCATATCTTTATCAACAGGGCCAATTCCAGATTTCTTCCAATCTTGAGGCCCATTAATAGGTTGCAAAGCATATTTATTTGCTTTACTATATGTGTCTTTGTGATAATATAAATGTAAAAACTCATATGGGTCTCCACCAGTATGCCATATTACACAACAAGCATGCGAACACGGAATCCCACATAGTTGCCACCTTCTATAGGTACATGTTCTTTCATTCAAGTGTACAATGTACTGTTTATTCCTTTTCTTTACCTCGCATCCATTATCTCCATTCCAAATCATTCTCCACTTAATGCTGTTTTTCTTCATGATGTCAAATTTTTTCTTGATTAGTGGCCCATAATTGTACTTCCATGTAGTCAAGAATCTCTTCTTTTCAACTATTCTTGTCATTATCTTGACTCCAATCTCTTCAAGCATTGTAATGATGCTTTTGTACCTTGCATCAACAATGTTCGAATTAAAGGCATCATATAAATTATTTTCCGCTATATTTGACTTGGTATGCATCATTTGAAAGGTCTTGGTCTACATTTTCTCTTTTTTTCTAAACAATTAAGTAGCAAGTATGCTATCAATCTTTGACAGTGCATCTTTGTTCTCCTCCCATTCTCTCTTAGTCGTAGACTTCACATTTGGCCAAAAGGCAAACTGATATGCTTTTGCTCTCTTCCTTCTAGTCTAATTCGTAAACACATGTCGAGCACAATTTTGATGTTCTACTCGTGGTAAAACATCATTTACAACAATCTCAATACCCTATCAAACAAAATTTTACTTAATTTAAGATTTTATTCAATTATCATAGAACAATATCTAAACACTGCTTGTAACTAATTTTAGTTTTCAGACAAATATCCTTTTCAATTGATCTAAAATGCTACATTAGAAATAAACAAACAAGTTTTTTGTAGACCAATTGCAATTAACAATTAATACTATAGTGGCAATTTGAGATATAACAACAAGTAATATAACAACAAGTGATATAACAGCAGCAACTCAGACTGTTAACATTAAACTAACAAATAGCATCAAGTAAATTTAATTACCTTGTGTTGGTCACTGATGATGGTGTAGCCAAATTCATCATCCAATCCCAAGTCTGTTGTCACTATACTTATAAACCAAGACCAAGAATATTTGCTTTCACCCTCGACAACAGCAAATGCGATAGGGTACATCTGATCATTGTCATATCTCCCAACAGCAGATAAAAGTATGTCTTTGAATGGGCCCTTAAGGAAGCAACCATCTAGACCGATTATAGGCCTACATCCTTCTTTCCAACCTCTCTTCATAGCATCAAAGCATACATAAAATCGTTTGAAGTGAGGTGGAGAATTATCTGACACCCTATTTACTGTCATCTTTATTGTGCTCCCTGGATTAAATTATGTGATTGGTCATTAAATTATGTGATTGATTTTATTCTTATCACTACATAGAAAGATAATTAGATCATGTTAGTCCTAATTTAAAATATGATTTAAGCAATTTATTTTTTAATATTTATAAATTATATCAATTTAATCTTATTTTAATTCTAGATCATAAGGATGACATGATAAGTTTAAAATTTATAAAATAACACATTTAATTTTTCATATTTTATATATTTAATCAAGTTAGTCCTAATTTAAAATATGATTTAATAAATTTATTTGTTAATATTTAAAAATTATATCAATTTAATATTATTTTAATTCTAAATAGTTTAATAAATTTAACCATCTAATAAAATAGAGATAAATATCATTGTATTAAAAATTTTTAGAATTTAGTGACCAAAATAGAAGAGAAGAAAATAGTTGAGTGATGAAAGGTGTGATTTACCCATTTTATAACAGCAGTAATTAACAGAATCTTCGTCAATGACGGAAAACGTTGATCAAAAGGTCGTATTAGATTCTTTTTTCGAGTTGGAGGGCTACATTGATCCCAAAAAAATATAGGGGTCATATTGGTTTTTTTAAAAGTTTGAGGGACTTTTTGCCTTAGTTTATTTTTTGTTCATTTCTTTGAAGAAACCTCGTTCCTTTTACAAGATATTGGTGATGTAAATAAACACAATCCACTTTGACGGACTTTTAGTTTTTTTCATTAATATATAAATATATACGTACAATCTTATTGAGTAATGCCACCACATGCTTTTGTGGTGATTAGTATATTTCCTAATTTCCAGAGCAGGGAAAACATTAAGCAATTTATATTGAAGTAAAATTCAATTCAACCGCTTGTTTTATTGAGTGAGTCAATTACGAGTTAAATAATGTTTGATTTAATTCAAAAACTGTTTAATTTGTGTTTAATTCGATTCGATATTCTAAAAGTCTGATAAAACTTTACTCGATTCATGTTCATTAAAAAAATCGATATTTAATTAACAAATTTAACAAAAAAAATCGAAATAGTGTACAAAATATTTTTAAAATTTAAAGTGTAAAGTCAAACAACCCATAAATTTACCAAACTAACATATCACAACCAAAGTAATAACACACAAATACATCAAAATGATATATTACAACCATTCTTGAAAAAATATCTTAATAATACATAATCAATCTTAAAAACTAATTAACAAGCTACTCACGAAACATATCAAGTTTAGACCTTATTCGACTCGATTTATTAAGTTTTCAACTCAAGTTCGAGTTGAAGTCAAACGTTAACTAAATTTTAAGTGAGTCGAGCTGCTCAACTATAGCATCCCTATACGTTCAATTGTCATTTATGGTTGCACACGTAGCTAGTAGCACCGGGATCCTTTTAGGGATTTAAGATTACTCCACATGACATGAATTCTTAAAATGAGGGAGGACTAGCCTGGCATCTTTTCCATTCAACTTGTAACAAGAGAGATATTGGTGCAAGCTTGTTCTTTTGTAAATGGGTGGATTATCCGCCGTCACAAGTTCCTCGGCTGCTCCATATGGTTTATCTTTAAGAGCGGGCATCGGAGCAAAGCAACATGCAGCAGAGATTCTTGGACCCACGCTTCCGGCTAATACTCTATGTGTTGCACTTTTGAACTTGTCATTTGAAACAATCTACAAAACATTTATATTTATTTACCTTTTTATGTAAAAAAAAACCTATAGGATGTCAATTTTTAAGATGAATAAACTTCTGTTCATATACCTGCAAAAAGTCGCCAATATTGGCAATTAGATATCCATGGCGATGAGGCACATTGACCCACTGATCCTGATGAAGAACTTGGAGTCGATCGATATTATTTTCCAAAAGTATAGTTAAAAACGATGGATCGGTATGGGTGGATGTGCCTAAGGTCAGCTCAGGCTGAGGACATGGAGGATGATAATGGCATTGAATAAGAGCACGTTTCATGCATTTAATGCTTGCCAAGTAGTGTCTCCTTAGCCCCAAAGCCTCCGATATCAGTTCAGATAATGTATCCTTCAGTTGCACCATATGTTTCATGTACTCACTCGTTGCCTTCCTGTAAAAAAGCCATCAAAAGTAAAATTTCTTCACTGATAAAATATTAGATACGGTTAATCATTGTTGAACCTGCAAACTTGAGGTATAGCTTGTTCGTTTATTTCTCCATCTGGGAATTCAAGTGCCAGAGTATCTCTCCATGCTGCCGCCTTTATGTTGGTATTACAGTCGGTGAGCCTCTGTCCGCTTTCGTTACGTGAATACCAAGCTTTCTTCACGTCTTGAGGTTGTTCATGGAACTGACGAATGGCGTCTATCATATTCTCCATCGTGGGAATCGGAACGCAGTGATTTACCATTCGGAAGAAGCCCCAAGTTTGAGCTGCATCACGTATGGCATCCACGATTTCCCTTCTGCGCTCGCCCTCGAAGCCTTTGAGGTCTATTTCCGGAATCTGAAGGTGCGGCGCGGCTAAGGTGGCATCCATGGAATCTGCAGGACGGATGAAGAAACTGGGAATCTTGGTAATCCCGGAATCCACCAGCCCTTTAACTCCTTCCTTGCTTTCCAAGAAAGCCTTCATTTCTTCGGCAAGGCTATTAATGTTTTCAGCTCTAGGAGTGGCTTCCATTTGGATAAACTTGAAGGTGCAAAGGGTTGATTACTATTTACTACTTACTAGTATATCTATATGTGCATGTAAAGAGATATTTTGCAGTGGAATGTGGCAAGGGGATGCTGCTTTTTTTATAGCAAGTCTTCAAATCAATGGCGATGAAAGATTTTTAATCCAAATGGACCCTTCTGCAGATCAACCTTATCTTTTGATCAGCTTATCACTTCGAGGCTAGCAATTGTCGGCCACCTGTTCATTGTTCAAATAATTGAGCGGAACATTTTCACGTGGCTTACTACATCACAGTAATAGGGTATATATTAAAATTATATAGCTTTAATAGTATTTAACTTTTCCAAACAAATTAATGTGACCTTCAAATTATTTATATATAATATGACTTTCAAACTTTAAAAAAATTAATTTGGTCCTTTGATCAATAATTTTCGTTGTTAACTGTTACAATATTGATGTGGCAGTCCACGATACTAATATGGAAGTTCACAATACTGACATGACGGTAACGGTACTGACATGATATTTTTTTCAAAACCATACCTAACGTTATATTTTGATTTCATTTTGGTTACCCACATTTAAAAAATAAATAGAATTGTTGACGTGATATTTTTTATTTTCTCAATGATGAAATAGAATTATTTTATGGTAACACATCAACACGCTAATTTTAATGATGTGTGACTACAAGGGAATTAAAACGTAACTTTAAGTATGATTATGAAAAAATAATAGTTGGATGGTCAAAACTAGAGGTGTTTAAACAGTTAATTCGGTTAACCGACAGAACTGAATTACCAAAATTTCATTTATTGATTTTTTTTCCTTTTGCCCCTAGCCGAACCAAATATATTTTTTTAAAATTAACCGAACCGAACTAAGTTCAGTTAATTGGTCGATTAACCGAATTATCCTAAATTTATAAATAATATATCAATAATTTATATTGAATATTTGATATTTTTGATTAATTCGGTTAAAACCAAAATTTAAACACCCCTAAAGTTAAATAATATATATTCTATATTTAATAATTTTGAATAATTATATTAATTAACAAATTTCAAACTGAATTAACTGAAACTGAAGTTTGAAAAAAACCATTAACAGTTAACCGATTGAAATCAAAATTAACCGACTGAAATTCTCGTTCAGTTGATTAATTTAATTTTAATCGAATTATGAACACCCCTAATCAAAACGAAACCATATAGATAATTGAGCGACTAATACATCGCTCATCCTTTCTAAAAATACATAATAATATTTTTCTAAAATAGTATAATTATTTCGGGTTTAAAGTTAGAAAGTAATATGAAAATTATACTTTTTTTCGGAAAAAAAAATATTTGCATGTCATGTATTATTCTTCTAGAAGCCTTTGTACACATGAAGTCTTAATTTGGGCGAAGCAGGCCAATGTCTTAGCCGGGGTTGTTGGCGACTTGGCGCGTGGTAAAACATGAGAAGACGCAGGTCAGGCCATGGCTATTTTTTGCAATTTAACACTCTTTTTGACAGTAAATAACGGATGCGCGTTTTGTGTAATGTGTCTTGCTGATGTGGACATAAGGCATACCCCTAGAGTGCACTTTCCAAGGGAATTTTTGAGGTGGAAAGTGTGTTTCACAGAGATAACCTTTAAAATAACACCCTGGTTTTAGGGTTAGAGTTTAGATGAGCGGTTTTTATTTTTAGGTTAAGTGGTTTAGGGTTAAAGTTAAATTAAAAAAATAAAAATATTAAACTCAAAATCAAAAAATAAACCCTAAATGTATAAGAGACTAGATATTAATTTTGGGCGCTATGTAAGTGTTTACCTTTTCTCATGCGTAATCGACTTTCAAATTCTTAAAAGTTAATTTCTGGAAAGCGCATGTTAATTTTTGTCTTTTAAATATTTTTTCTAAATTTGTTTAAAAGACGGTTTTTTAGGTACTCAACTTACATAACTTAAAGGTCGATGGCGACTTCAAGTAAAATTAATCAAATTAAATCTAAAATTAATATTTTAAAAAATAAGTCGTAATTGAATTTTCTCCTAAAACGTAAAAACCTTTTAAAATAAGAAAGGACGTTACGCCACTCCCAATATTTTTGATATAATAACATTTTGGGTCATTTTTAATTTAAATATTAGTCAAATAAGATCTTTGTTCCTCCTAATTTTTAGATCTAAATACTTAATTATCATTTTTTCTTTAGATATAAAATAATTTTTCTCCTCCTTAATATTTAATTCTAACTCCGTTTTTACGTTTTTCCACCCTTTTACGGTTCAAACTTCAATCAGTATAATCCTCAATGTCATTCATTCATGTATCTTTGGGTGTTGAGCATTTATTCTCGAGTTTTATTGATAGTTTGTTGAATGAAACATTGTATCAGTCTTAAAGATGACACAAATCGGTTGGTGGAAACCGCTGCAAATGCATAATACAAAGGTGTTATATAAATAATTAACAATTAAGTGATCGATCTGTTATAAAATAATAATGTTAGTGATTGTTTTATTACTTTTGAAATTTTAATGTTGAAAAAAAATTATTTATACTTTAATGATAATTTTATATAATTCACCCTTCATTTGATCATCTGCTAATTTAGAATTTTATATCCAATCCACATGAAAATAAAAGAGATTACTTTTAGAATAATAATTATAAAACTATATGTATATTAACTCGTAAATTAATTTAATATCCATAATCATTTTAAAATATTTAATTCAATAACTAAAAATATAATATATTAATATTGATATTATCACTTTAATTTAATTTCAATGATGTGTATATTATGATATCTACACTTTAAATCTCAAAATTTGAAACGTGAAATTTCTGTAGGTAGATGATATCGAATCCTTTTAGGATTCAAATTTCGATACTTGAAAAATTGTAATTACTCATTAAAAGTTTGTTTAACATTAATTTTTTGTATAATAAGATTAAAATTTAACATCTTACTCGTGAAGTATTGAACTCCTTACTACTTGATCGAAAAATATCTTCAACATTTAAATCCGAAAGGTTAAGTTAAAACATGTCTGCAGTCCTTATATTTTAAAAAAGTTTGAGATTTAGTCGTTATAACTAAAAGTTTGAGATTTAGTCATATCCATATGATCTAACAATACCTTACTAACTCCAAATGGACTAAATGGGTAAATATGGAAGGCCAAAGTAACAATATTTATAAATATAAGGGTAAATTTATTAAATTATTTAGAATTAAGATGGAATTAATAGTTTGTAAGTTTTGGGACTAAATACGTAATTGTAGAGGAGCAATTGATAGAATTTATAGATGTAAGGGTTGGATTTGTTTAATTATCACAATTAGGTTCAGATTGATAGAAATTACAAATATGAGGGTTAAATTTGTCAAATTATTTAGAATTAGGACAAAATTGAAAAAATTATAAATGTGAGTGTTAAATTTATTAAATTATTTATACCCAGGATGAAGTTAATATAATTTATAATTGTTGACTAAATGCATAAATGTGAAAGGTTTTAACCTAGGGTTGTAAACGAGCCGAGTCGAGCTCGACTCAAAAACTTTAAAATGAAGTTTGAATCGAACTCGGAACCATGAATTGAAGTTTGAAAAAGCTTGTATCCTCCGAGACAAAATTCCAAGTCAACCTGTAGTAAGTCCATATGACTTATCAAAACGAAATTTAAGATATAACGATCATATTTATTTAATTTATTAATCTATAAGTAATTATGACAACTCTATGATTGACATACATTAAAAGACATTATAAATACCCTAATCGATATTAAAAGAATAAATAAATTATCTATAACTGATCGATCTTTATGATAATATATTATCTTTTACATCTAAACATCATCTATCAATAATGATCTACCCGACACGTTTGACGTTTACAACGTTCATTTCAATCAAAATTAACCATAAATTCGAAATATCCGTTTTCATAATTATTTTATTTTCTGTTTGCAAATATCTTACCATGATACAATAAAGATCTTATAACAAAAAATAATAAGACTCAAAGCATTAATTTATTCACAGTTTCCCGTTTGCAAATATTTTATTCGGATATTATAAAAATATATTATTTTATTAACATTATATGTATTTAATTTATTGATGAAGTAATTTATGTTGAATTATGTGAATATCTATTATGAGATAATTTTCTCAATTCAATTTCTTTCATTTATAGCGTTAAAATCCAAACTTATGGTATTTATTTAAGAGACTTGGTGTCTCATCTCATTACATCAAGAAATAACTCGTATAATAAAAGGTTACAAATATCTTAATTAAAATTTCAAACAAATTTAAAAATAAAATAAAATTTTTAACATTCTATTTGAAGTTTTATATAAAGTATATCTGTGTGCCAAAATATTTTGATAAAGATATGGTACATGATTATTTAAATATAATATAACTAAATTCTTTTGAAGATATAATGTTAAAGTTCATCCCTAATTTTGATTGAATAGTTATTTTAACAACTATTTTCAAATATTTTAATTTTTAACATTTTATTTTAAATTAAATTAATTTTTAATTATATAAAAATTATTAATTGATTATCGATGAATATCTATCGGTGATTAGTAGCGGATGCAAGGCTTGTCCAGGATGATTATGTGTCAATTCTAAAATCCGAATTTCTTTATATTAGTTGTTCATTTTATTATTGTGACCACTCTAAAATTTTATTTGTACACACCTATATGAAAATTTTCTATTATTAATATATGTGTCTCCTCTAAAAAATATTTATGGATCTGCTACTATAACGTGACCCCAAAAAATCAACTAATACAGAATCAATCAATAAACTTTTAACACATACAAATACAAGTAGGGGTGTGTAAAACTACCCGACCCGTCGACCCGGACCTAAAAAATCGAGGAATTTTCTAAAAAAAATATTACCCAGTTGGGTCGGATACCCGACCCGACATTTCTCGGGTCGTGCCCGAGTTACAAAATTGAAGTTTTCCGGATACTCGATTAGTTTATATATATATATATATATAATGAATTATTTATATTATGAATTATTAGATTTTGTATTTTGAACTTTTAAATTT